ATAATTATAAATTTATATAAAATAATATTGATTGTAACTACACTACATTAACAAAAACACCCAAAAGAGCTTTGCTATTGTATATGCTTTTAGGAACAACTCAAAATGAACGATACTTCTCCCGTCTACTAGTACAACATATCTCCAGAGATTACAATTGATCTTCAGGTTGTGCTCAAAACTTAATTTGGTTAGACTCTGTTAAATTCTTACTATTTTGAAAATGTTTCTAAAATAGTTTCTCTACCCTAAGCAACAAAAAAGAAGTCAACGAATTAAGTAAACCGATGATGTGTAGTATTTTTTATCTCTTTTTTTTAAAAATCAAAATAATAGCTTTTGGTTCGAGCCGATAGTTGTTCCCCTCTAGGCCCGTCTTTCACTTTAGGACCGAAACAAGACGAACCATAAAACGAGACCAAACCATCGGACCAGATCAACACCATCAATATGGTGTGGGATACATAGCACTGGTGGCTATGATCTTTTCGTCCCTTTTTTGTCCTTCCCATATTTCGTCTCATTTGTCATTTTCCTAATTTCCATCACCTCAAGAACTAAGACCATTATTTTTTGGCTTAACTTAATTTTTAGTCTATTAACTATCACCTTGATTTCATTTTAGTCTAGAAACTATATTTTATTTTTAAGTGGTCTATTAACTTTCAGATTCATTTCAATTTCGTCTACTTGGTCAAAGAAAACGGAAAATTTCCTATTCTGTTAGAAAACAGTTAATCCTTTGACTATATTTTTTTTAATCTTTTAGTCCTTAAATTTATATTTGTTATAAAAATAGCTTTTTTACTTAAAATTATTATTTATAGGCTTTAATACCAGATTTTTATACAGGGTTTTCTTATTTCTTTAATTTGGTATCAAAGCCTAAAAGTTAATAGACCACTTAGAAATAATAATTTTAAGTATAAAAATCTGGTATCAGAGTCTAAAAATAATAATTTTAAGTATAAAAGTTATTTTTATAACAAATATAAATTTGAGAACTAAAAGATAAAAAAAATATAATTAGAGGACTAATTGTTTTCTAACAGAATAGGAAGTTTTAAGTTATCTTTGACTAAGTAGACGAAATTGAAATGAATCTGAAAGTTAATAGACCACTTAGAAATAAAACATAATTTCTAGACTAAAATGAAATCAAGGTGATAGTTAATAGACTAAAAATTGAATTAAGCCATTATTTTTTTTTGATACAGAACTAAGATCATTGTTCTGTACTTGGACCTTGGCTTTAAACTGACACTACTACCATTAATAGCTGTTCCGCTGCACACCCATCATTCACTCTATGACCATTAACATTTACTTAGAGTAAAGTTGTTGTCATATTTTAAACAATTAATGTTATATATTTTTAATATAATTATTTATTATATTTTTATATTATATTTTTTAAAAAATTTAT